TGATGATGATGATTCCACTGACTATGATGATGGTTATGATACTGTAAGTCTTGTTTTATAATTAGTTTTTCTAGTTTTACTTATATGAAAAAAGTTATTAAAGGGAATAATTTTGATTACGACAGGTAGATTAATGCTACTTGGGAACCATAATTCAAGGGATCATTATTCTTTTATAAAAAAGAAAAAATATATTATAATTTTTTTTAATAAAAAAAAATTGACTTGAAAGAGAAATTGTTTTTACTCTAAAACCTTTTCCCAATCATCTAACATCCTTGAGACACATTACCGCCATTTTTTTTTTACGGTTATTTTTTTTGCTAATAATTATAATATTATCGCTGAACATAATTTATCACCAATCAGGATCGGTAAAAAAAAATCGCTGCCGATAATTTATGAGCGTCGATAACTTATCACGGTCGGTAACTTATCGTCAAAGTTATCACGGTCGGTAATTAGTACGGATCAGAACCCACTTTTTTTTTACTTGGCCGGTATTGCAGAGTGATCCAGAACCGGCCCTGCTTATCTACTGTCTATTTCATGCAACATAGAGAATAGTTGTAGTTTCTGGGGATTCCTTATGCCGTATATCATATCATAGTTAGTCCAGTCAATGTGCATTTTTAATATGAATTTCGTGGCACAAGTCGGAACTGGCTTCATTTTATAGAAAAAAATAGGTCCGAGCACACTTTGTCTGTGCTGCCACGACAAACTTCTCATTAGTAATTGCTCAAAATAAATTTTAATAGTTATAATCAATGTTCGTGAAAACATTAAAATTCATGTGATATACACATTATATAACAAATAAATACAATTTTTTATTGTTTATAACAAATTTAAGTTGTTATAAACAACGCGTGATTGTTAAAAGTCATATCTCATCATTAATTCTATTATTTTTCAGGAGCTTTGAAATCCATGTTATATACATATTCGTTAATCGATAAATACAATTTTCAATTGTTCATAGCAATATGAATTTGTTATGAACAATGCATAATTGTTAAAAGTCGTATCTGGTTGTGATCAATAATGTTTAGTCAATATCGACTTGTTGAGAAAGTCTCAACTTGTGAATTAACCGAACCGTTTAAGGATAGGGATGATTGTGCCGGAACAGAGCAAACGGAAGTCAGGTTTTATAAAAAATAAAGTATCTTTATTTTAAGCACTAACAGGTACACTAAGTATACTGACAAACTTGAGTTGTTAACTAGGAAGACTGAATGTCGCTCAAAGTCACTGAATGTCTATTTTTATTGCTGAATCTGAAGAGAATGTCCAAATGATACTCAACTTGGTGTGTTCGGTATTATTGACCTCCCACACGAGCTCAACACGCTTCTCAAGTTGAGCAAGAATGTGATTGTGCACGTGGCGTTAGCCTAGCGATGCAATGCAAAAGAATATAGTGAATTGTCTTGAATTTACACTGAACTGTCTTGAAATAGCTCTTGAATTTCGTTTCAGAATGAAGCCTGAATTTTTCTGATGATGTATAATCGCACTAGTACTGATGATTGACTCAAACTTGTAAGATTTGTTAAGAATGAATAAGAATGGCGTGTACACGTGAACGAGAACAGTGAAAGAATGGCGACAAGAACTTCATTAGTCAAAAGGGACACTCAAAAGTAGTCAAATGAGTGACTAGATAAAGAATTATTGATTATTAGGTCGATTGGTTATCGACCCAGTCCCAAGATGGCCGCCGAAGTTCCTGTCAGCTGGCAAATTCAAATTGAGAATTAATTAATTCTCAACAAACACAATTCCATATTATTAACAACTATTATGATGTGTGTGCACTACAAATCCAAGTGTTTTAAGTTGAAACATTCTAAACATTTAAACGTATGCAGTCACTTTTTAAATGTTTCTAAGTGCTTTAGATAAAGCAACACTTCAAGTGTTTTATGGTAAAACATTTTATTTGCTTTTTATTTACGCCATGTAAAGCACTTGAAGTGTTTTATGAAATATTTATCAAATGTATCTGAAATATATTAAAAAGCTTTTTAAAAAGAATTCAATTATGAATTAAATAAAATTTTTATTGATATATTTTAAACAATGTAATTTAAACAATTTCTGATTAAATAAGATATAATGCTTATCAATTATGTCTATCAGAAATTTAGGAACTTGAATGAGAATGAATGATAAGGTTTCAAATATTGCAAATGAATATATTCAAATATTGCGATGAATATATTCATTATTATTCTAACAAAAAAAATATTAAAAATAATATTACAAAAATACTATTTTATATAAGTAAAACTCGATTTTAATTGTTTTACACGTGAAAAAATATTCTATTCCTGCTCTATTACCTCAGTTTCAAGTTTTAGATCTATTTTCCTTAGAAACTTTACAACTACTGGATTCTTCTCAAATACAGTTCCAAAAATTTCATGATCGAGAAATTGTAACATGTGACGATATGGTTGGGGGTATTCAATATGCCACACATAATATGCTGCTAATAAACAAGTGATTACTTTTTCAATTGAAGGATTATCGATGTGCATGCGAATATTTTCATCAGCTACAATTATGGCATCTTGAATGTTCTGTTCAGTAGTATACAGAACACAACGAGGTGATTCATCTACTTCTACTTCAATATCTGTTAATGAAGTATTAACCTGTAAAAAATACACATTTTTTAACTTCCTTATAAAATGATACGAAAATACAAACAATTTCAAAATGATTTAAAGTTTAAAACATACTTGTTTTAATATAAAGAGAGGCTTTATACTTTTTTTATTTTTTTTCGATAGTTCACTATTTAAGGTAATCATGACCATTGCTTTAGATAGTTCATGCGATTCTTCAACCTCAAAAAATTTAAATAACTTTTTCACCATCGAGTTGATGTTGTCGTTTATCATTTCCTGCGTCAAGTTTTTTAGGTTGTAGAATTCAAAAAGTAACTGAAATTATTTAAAAAGTAGAAAATAATAAATGATTAAAATGTGTGATTCTTGAATATAGAAGACAGAATTTTAGTGTAGTATTTATAAATATTTTATTAATACCAAGTCACTATTCTGAAGTTGTGGATATCTATCAATGATTTCAGAAATTGATTGAGCAGTGTTTTCAATCCATTCACGTCGATCCTTCTGTGTAATTTTCAAGAGTCTGTGAATATGAGGAGTATTGCCTTCTTTCTTTTTCTTTTCTAGCTCTTTTAAAGCAACATTTACGTCAAAAGTCGACGGTTCTGATGTAGAAATCGGCGGTTCTGATATAAAAGTCGGCGGTTCTGATCTAAAAGATGAATTATTTTTACTATACAGCAATGAATGCATGTCTTAAAAAATCACAATTATACTTACGTTTCTATTGTAACAACATCAGCATTAGAAATTGATTTAATTATTTTTCCATTTGCATTCCTTTTAGCTGCTTGCCTCTTCGCAGTTGTTCGATGGTTCCTTATCCATGAGCTGAGGGTAGCTCTGACTATGGCCTTTACAGAAATGAAATTGAAAAAATTTGGTTTACAATAAAATGAAAATAAAAAGATAAAAATATTTACAGAATCTCCATTCTTCAATCCTAATGGTGGATAAACTTTGACAATGTTTTCTGCCATATTTTTATAATCAGTTTTAGATGGTATTCCTGCTGTTTTCTGCCATAAATACGTCCCCCAATGATACATTAAATCCTTCTGAGCATGCACTACACCTATTTCGTCCACCTTTTGTTGTAAATCGGAATTTAGTGGAGGTAATGACTCGCCAAGTGAAATAATATTTCGTTTCACAGCAAATTTTTTTTTTGTACTCTTAGAAAATTCAACTTTAACATCTTTTTTATAATCTGAATTAAATATTGAAAAAATATTAATATAAAACATAATAATTATAGCATCATGTATAGTAAATTTAACATTACCACAGGATTTTGCAGTAGAGGTTGATGCAACTGATGATAATTCACTAAAATTGAGATCAGATATTGGAGCAAGATTTTCTTTCACCTGTCAAAATTTTTTTTAAAAGAAAAAAGTAGTACCAATAGATTATCGAATTTATTACTCAGTCAATTAATTATTACACAATGTTAAGTATTATGATACATATATGACTTACTTCATCAACAGCTATATCATCTATCTGCTCTGCTTCTGAACATATTTGATTTTCCACGTAAGGTTCAGTATATAAAACTTTCATAGACATAGGCAATACTTCTTCTTTGTTAAGTATTTTTGATGAAACAATAGAATTACTTTCTGTTAATATTGAAATGGTCGATTCAGGTAATGATGATGATAAAAAAATTATATTGAGTTTCATTTTATCAGGAATTTCATCATCATCTTCAACATCACACCATATTTGTGTGTCAGGATCTTGCATTTGAATAATGATACTTTTTCCATTGGCAGCTTCCGTTAACAGTTTATCACGAGCACAAATGTTTTGAATTTTTTCTCGCACAAGATCAACATCTGAATGATTTTTATCAGACACAAATTTAACACATTTGCACTATTGCCCCACTGCACAAAAAACCTTTTTTTCCATTATTCCACCAACGATTCACATATCACAAACAGTTGACTTACAAAAATAATTGATTAGTGATCACTGATAAATAATAAAAGACTACACAACATACGACTTGGCGCCAACGAACAGCAGAAACCTTTGTCACAGCACATGTATATTACTAATACTATTATATATTATACTAGTGTGTATATATATAGTATATTCTATACTAGTGTGTACATTCGTCGCGACACCTATTAGATTTAATTCAAACTGCCAAATTTTCTCGAACGGATGTGTTGATGTGTGTAGTGACAATAACAAATCAATTGATAAATCGATGAATAAAAATTTTTTTAATTCGAGAAATTCATTTATTATATTAAAAAGGTTAAATAGAAAGGTTTCATAAAATATGAAGATTATACTTTCATAACATTATTGTGTGCTCAATATAAATATATTAAAATGAGTACAGAAATTAATGAAAAATGCTCAATGTGTTTTTTCACTAGTGTGTCAAAGTTGAATGTAATTAAACATATTGTATGGTATCATCGATTTGATCTAAGTTTTATGGTAAAGTGTACTCAACATGGATGTGGGGCTACATACCAAAATTGGAAATCGTTCAACAATCATCTTTACCGCAAACATTCAACGATTTTAAGAGCAGAGGAAAATATAACGGCTGATAACATAGAAAATACAAATGACATTGAGACAGAAGAAGAAATTCATGATGCATCACTGAACGAAGATGAACCTCTAAGTGAGTTCACAATTATATTATTGTTCTTATATTTGATTAACAATTTGCAAGTTATAATATTTTTAAATTATATTAATATATAATCAAAATCACATTCGAGTTTCAGGGTTTAATCATTCAATAGAGTCACTTCAATGGCATGCTGCAAAATTTTTTATCAATATACGTGAAAACTGTAAAGTTTCGCAAAATGCGATGAATAAGGTTATCGATGGAGTCGCTCATTTGTTGGACATTTATTTTTCTTTAATTATGGTAAGTTGATAGATAAAAAATTAGTCTGTATGTAATCATTAATTCTTACTACGACTATTTTACGTGACTTGAGATGCATTGTTTTTTATTTAGATAATTCTTCCTTTTAACAACTTTTTATTTCACAAATTGTTTGATAGATCTTATGTTAATTGGTAAATCATTTATTAATATTTATATTTTTATTAAGTATCTGTATCTGATGAAATATTATACATACTATTTCCAGAAAGAGATGAGAGAAGCAGCAGATTCTCAAACTCAAATGTTGACAGTGCAGTGCATTGAAGACATTTTTATTGAAAAGTACCCTTCTTCAATGATTTTTTCTCACCTAACAACTGAAGATGATTTGGAAAAATTTCTTGTAGAAGAAATGGATTTGGTCTTGCCTCGAGAAAAAAAATTATCCACAAACTTTGTTTGGAGGAAAAAAAGAGGACCAAGAGGGGAGACAACAATGAAAATATGTAAAGCTGATAATAATGCATATGTAGTTCCTTTTTTGGAGAATTTAAAAAATGTATTGATGAATGATGAGATCAGAGCTAATGTAGATAATCCTTTACAATACATTAATGGCACTTATCGAACTGTTTTGGATGGTAGTTACTATCGAGAAAATGAGTTTTTTAGCCAGAATCCAAATTCTTTGGCTATAATATTATATTATGACGATTTAGAAATAGCTAACGTATCGGGTAGTAGTGCCAAATTTAAAAAACTGTCTATGTTTTATTGGGTACTTGCTAATATCAGACCAGAACTTAGATCATTAAAGAATGCCATTCAATTACTGGCTATTGTAAAAACAAAACATATAAAGAATCCAGATAATCTACGAAAAATTTTACAATTTTTTGTTGATGACATAGTTAAATTACAGATGGTAGGGATTGATATCGTCATAAATAATACTGTAAAAAATTATAAAGGGTCTCTCTTATTTTTTGCCGGAGATACACCTGCATCAGCATTGATAGGTGGATTTAAAGAGTCTGTTTCAGCAACACGTCCTTGTCGCTCTTGCATGGTTGCACACGAAGACCTTAAAAGATTTTTCACTAAAGAAGATTTTATTTTAAGAAACCTAGATAATCATGAGGATCATTTAAATGCAATAAACGAACCCAATTCAAGTAAAGGGGCAAGTGATTTTTGGAAGAAAACTTATGGAATTAATCGAAGAAGTTCATTAATGAATATACCTCATTTTGACATAACAGCTGGTTTACCCCAAGATTGTATGCACGTATTAATTGAAGGTGTTACAGAAATCACATGTCGATTATTCTTATGTCATATCATCATGAACGAAAAACTTTGTTTACTCAATAATATTAATAATAATATATCAACTTTTAATTATGGACATTTAGGATCGAGTCAACCAGCTATCATTCATAAAGATGAATTGGCCATAGACAAGTCTTTACGCCAAAGTGCAGCACAAATGTTTGCATTAGCACACACGCTGCCATTTTTAATCGATGAATGGGTATACTTTTGTGAAAGAGAAGGTCTTAGAAAACGACTTGAACATTATATTTTACTACTTCAAATCATGAATTTGTGTCTTTCCTACGAAATCAGTGCTGACTCTGTAAATTTATTGAGTCAAAGCATTGAATTATTTTTGTCGCAATTAATTTTATTATATCCTGATCATTTTGTTCCAAAATTTCATTTTCTAATTCATGTTCCACGTTATATAAAATTATTTGGACCTGCACGACAACAATGGTGCTTCAGATTTGAGTCAGCTCACGCATATTTCAAGTCTCTGGTTCCAGTTGTTCGGAATTTCAAAAATATGCCCTATACACTATCTTATCGTCATCAAGTACGTCTTTGCTCTCATCTTAATTCTTACCCGAAGTATTCATCAAAGATCTTTTTATACAAAGGAGATGAAATTACTCCAGGTCCTACAGTTAGATTACAAAATTTATCTTATGCCAATTTACTTTATGAGTATGTTGGTGAATTAGAAAGAAATGTATGTCAAGTGATGCGATCCCCTAAAATTATTATACATGATACCGTATATCAAAATCAATCTATTATTTTATTAGAGTGTGATGAAAATTTTTTGCCAGTTTTCGGTGAGATTTGTGACGTATGTATTCTGAATGATAATATTTTTCTTATTGCAATATTGTTAGAAACAGTTTGTTATAAGCCGACATTGAATGCTTACAACATTATAAAAACAATAAATAATGAAAGAATTGCGATAAAACTGAATAATTTAATATTTTCACATCCGATTTCCAGCTTCAATGTTCGGAATGAAAAGTATGTTTTATTAATTAACCACAAAAGATGTGAATTACATACACATATTTGAATTGTTGTAATATTTGAAATTTTTGAATAAAATTAAAATTAACAGGACAATCTTATTTTTTCAAATAATATATATATACATATATATACCACGTTTCTTGTAATTTTTATTTTGAATCGATTATTTAAAACGTGAAAAATGTTTTAATTCGTTAAAGCGCTTAAAGAGTTTTGTAGCTTTTGCGTATAAAACATTCAAACTGAAGGATATTTGTTTTAACTGTATATCAAAACATCTTACTATGATTCAAACATTTTAAATGTTTCAACTTAAAACACTTGGATTTGTAGTGTGTACGTACGTACGTACGTATGTATGTACGGACGTCAGCATTTTTTCTTTTTCGATATCTCAAGAACAGATTAAGATATCGACTTCAACCAAAATTAATTCGGAAGATATGATTATAAAAAAGATCTAAAGGGTATTTCAATGAATCCGGTGGAGCCGTTTTTTTTTCAAAAACATAAACGATTAGCTATTGAAAAAACTTTCAAGTCAAGCAATAACACTTTTATTTGAAAATTGAGTCGCGTTGAGAATTAATTAATTCTCAATTTGAATTTGCCAGCTGACAAGAACTTCGGCGGCCATCTTGGGACTGGGTCGATAACCAATCGACCTAATAATCAATAATTCTTTATCTAGTCACTCATTTGACTACTTTTGAGTGTCCCTTTTGACTAATGAAGTTCTTGTCGCCATTCTTTCACTGTTCTCGTTCACGTGTACACGCCATTCTTATTCATTCTTAACAAATCTTACAAGTTTGAGTCAATCATCAGTACTAGTGCGATTATACATCATCAGAAAAATTCAGGCTTCATTCTGAAACGAAATTCAAGAGCTATTTCAAGACAGTTCAGTGTAAATTCAAGACAATTCACTATATTCTTTTGCATTGCATCGCTAGGCTAACGCCACGTGCACAATCACATTCTTGCTCAACTTGAGAAGCGTGTTAAGCTCGTGTGGGAGGTCAATAATACCGAACACACCAAGTTGAGTAGTTTTTTGGACATTCAATTCAGATTCGAGAATTAAAATTAGACATTCAGTGATTTTGAGCGACATTCAGTCTTCCTAGTTAACAACTCAAGTTTGTCAGTATACTTAGTGTACCTGTTAGTGCTTAAAATAAAGATACTTTATTTTTTATAAAACCTGACTTCCGTTTGCTCTGTTCCGGCACAATCATCCCTATCCTTAAACGGTTAGGTTAATTCACAAGTTGAGACTTTCTCAACATTTTATTGGTCCTTCGAGCCGGATCAGAGCTCTTGGTTTTGAAGTACAAATTTTTGGTGCTACCAGTGTACTGCTTCAGACAATCAAGTGTGTAAGTGCACAAAATGGCCGACCAAAAAAGGAAGAGTGAGGACCAAGAGTCCATGACCTCGAAGCCTCAACCAACAATCAGCGTGACTCCTGACGATGGTGCAGAGGAGTTTGGTAGTCCAACCGATCAAATGGATAATCCATTAGCTCAGCCAAGTAGAAGATCAGCTACGGAAAGCATCATTCGGGTTGTGACACCACCCAATCCGTTTCTACCCAGTTGCCAGTTTGCTGAGTCTAAAAGAGCTGCTGTTCATTCAGCCAACATATCATCCCTACTCACTATTGTAGACAACTCATTGGACTCACTCAAGCTATTGGGACAATCAACCGAGAATTGGGATACGATTCTCATATTTCACATTCTCAAACATCTTGACCAACATTCTCGTGAGCTCTGGGAAACTCAGGACAATGATCTTGAGCGGATGCCTACGTACTCAAAGTTTCGTGAGTTTCTGCTGGCTCGGATTCGTACTTTGGAGAAACTGGAGCCACGCATCAAATCAGACAATCAACAACGCTCATCGCATTCAACCACCAGTGAGCGTAGATTCATTTGTGACTGCTGCAATGGCGGTCATTTCATCGTAGTCTGCCCAGAATACAGGGCTTTGCCTCTTGAACAGCGATTGAGGACTGTAGACAGTAAAAAGCTGTGCAGAAACTGTCTTGGAAGACACAACACACCAGCTTGCACCAACAAGAACAGATGTAAGGAGTGCAACTCTAAACATCATACAATGTTCTATTCACTTCTGTTCAGACAATCATCAGGCAACAACAATCAAGCGTCTTCTAGGACACAATCACCACAACAATCATCATCAGACACTCAGCCTTCAACTTCACAGCAATGAGGAGGCGAAGCAGTCTTCGAAGAACATTCAAACAATTCACAGACATTCAAGCTTGCTGATGGACTTGCTCTAGAGGGTCAAACTGACTGAATGACCTTAGCACATGAGGTTTCGGCCTCAGGAGGGTTGAGGGTTCAGTTGGAATGGTCCAAAGGACAAGTTCAGAAGCAGCAAAATCATCTAGGACAATCAAAAGGTCAGAATGACCACAAGACAATCAATCAACATTCAACTAGTAGTGCTATCAGCACACAAAATCATCAATCAAGTGACGTCAAATCAACTCAACTTAGTATACAATCATCGACAAGAGCAATCTGCTCAAGTCAAACGATTCCAAGTCATCTACATGATGATCATTCAACGCTGTTAGCAACAGCAAAAGTCAAAGCCAATTCACATTCAGGGAGTTACATTGCACGAGTGCTCATAGATCCCGGATCAGAGCTAACATTAATCACTTCTCAAATAGCCAATCTGCTGTAACTAAGAAAACACCATCAGACAATCAACATAAGAGGAGTGGGCAACTCTAAGCTCACTCAAACAAAAGGTGTAACATTCTGCGAGCTACAATCATTATCATCCAATCATTCAGTATACATTCGAGCTCACATAATAAAACAGTTGACAGCTTTAATTCCAAAAGTGCCATGTAATTATCCCAACAATCACTGGCCTCATCTCAATGGACTGACACTAGCCGATCCAACACTCCACAATCGATAGACATTCTACTTGGAGCTGACTTCTATGGACAAATCATCAAACAAAATATCATATTTCATTCTCCAACAGCTCCTATAGCTCAACTTTCTATCTTTGGTTGGCTAATTCTTGGTCCAGTAGCACCAAATTCATCAGTCAATCACTATCACATTCATCATGCTACTACAATCACGAACCATGAAGACATTCAAGAGTTGCTGACAAAATTCTGGGTAAAATATTCCATATTTTCTTCCTCATCATGGGGTATTAAGGCCAAGTAGCACTACCATCAAGCTCAGAGTAGTCTTCAATGGATCCAGCCCGACGTCAACTGGAATCTCATTGAATGACATCACTCATACTGGAACAAAAATTCAATTAGACATCTTCGACGTACTTCTTTGGGTTCGTCAATATCAATACGTATTCGCAACCGACATAACAAAAAAGTATCGTCAAATAATGGTTCATCATGAAGATTGGAAGCTTCAACAAATTCTTTGGCTAGACAATCACAACAAAATCATTCCATTTCAACTCACAACAGTAACTTACGGCACTAGATCAGCTCCTTATCTAGCAGTTCGTGTGTTACTGCAATTAGTAGAGGATGAAGGCCAGAAATATCCAAAAGCAACTCAGACAATCATTAAAGGCAGATATGTCGACGAGATATTTGGAGGAGCAGATTCTCCAGAAGAACTAATTCAAGTTGCTGAGGAATTAATCAACTTGTGCAAGGCGGGCGGCTTTCCCCTTGCAAAATGGCAATCAAACAGTCAATCACTTCTTCAAAAAACGTCACAATCATCAGGCAATCAACAAAAAATCACCTTCGAAGACTGCACTACAAAAATTCTTGGACTTCAATGGAATCCAAGCTCAGACACATTCACATTCACATCAAAAGCAGTCACTCATGAGTCAACATATTCAAAACGCCTCATTCTTTCAGAAGTAGCTCAAATTTATGATCCTTTGGGGTTTGTGTCACCAATCACAATCAGAGCTAAGATGCTTCTTCAAGAACTCTGGTTACACAACCTCAGCTGGGACGAACCAGTCCCACAATCAATCATCAATCGCTGGCTGATCATCAGAGATGAATTCACTCAACTTCATGAGATTTCACTTCCACGATGGATTCACACAACCAGACACCTAACTGTAGAAATTCATGGATTCTCTGATGCTTCACAGCTTGCGATGGCTGCAGCAATCTACTTGAAAATACATTCAATTCACTTATGGACGGACTCTTTAATCACTCATTCATGGATCAATTCAAATGCAGGACGCTGGAAGGACTTTGTCAGGAACAGAGTAGTGCAAATTCAAGAACTAGTTGCGGACGCGCACTGGCACCACATTTCTGGCAAGGAAAATCCAGCGGACTGTGCTTCAAGAGGCATTACAGCCAATCAATTGAAAGATCACTCGCTATGGTGGAGGGGACCCACCTGGTTAGCTGAAAATCAGGAAAACTGGCCAGTAAATTCACCACCAGCTGACGAGGCTTGCAACTTAGAAGCTCGTCCTGGAATTTCACTCATCGCAGCAATTCAAGATACAATAATTCAATGGGACTTGGTCAACAGATATTCAACACTCAATAAACTACTTAGAATCACCGCCTTAATCATCAAATTCACTTCAAGACTTCGACATTCTTCAGTTACCAGTCCTTTAGCATCAATCACAACAGCTGACATCGAAAAAGCGAGAATCTTCTGGATAAAGTCTACTCAAGCAGCACATTTTCACCAAGAAATCAGGACTTTATCCAACAATCAACATCTTCCACCAAACCATTCATTCAACAGACTAACAGCATACGTTGACTCAGAAGGAGTTCTACAAGTAGGAGGACGACTTTAGCATGCTCAGTTGAGTCATGATTCAAAACATCAATCAATTCTACCTCGACATTCACCATTCACCACTCTTATTATTCGACATTATCATTTAATCACGCTACATGGTGGCACTCAACTTACACTCACAACAATCAGACAACGTTACTGGATCATGGGTGGAAGAGCTCCAGTGAAAACATTCATTCTTCGGTGCATCGAATGTGCTCGACAAAGAGGCATAAGAGCACAACAACTCATGGGCCAATTGCCACAATCACGTATCACTCCTTCACGGCCATTCTCTCATACTGGTATAGACTATGCTGGGCCATTCACAATTAAAACATCATCAGGCAGAGGAGCGAAGACTAGAAAAACTTGGGTCTGCGTATTTGTCTGCATGTCAACTTCTGCAGTTCATTTAGAAGCAGTTAGTGACTATTCAGCTGAAGCATTCATTGCTGCCTACAGGAGATTCACCTCTAGACGAGGATTATGCCAGACAATCTATTCTGACTGTGGCAGAAATTTCATAGAAGCTGATATAGAACTCAAGAAATTATTCACACAATTCACCAGAGAACATGAGGTCATCTCTAGATTCATCATCACCAACGGCACTCAATGGTCATTCAACCCACCTGCAGCACCACACATGGGTGGCAATTGGAAGTCAGGAGTGAAATCACTTAAATTTCATTTGATGAGAACAGTAAAAGAATCACTCTCCACGTTTGAAGAGATCACCACACTACTGACACAAATAGAAGCCATTCTCAACTCAAGACCTCTAGAGCCAATCAGTGATGACCCAGAAGACATTCAAGCACTCACTCCTGGACACTTTCTTATTGAGTCAGCACTCAACACTGTTCCTGAACCATCAACCTCAGAACCTGCACATTCAATTCAAAATCGATGGCGGATGATTCAACAACAATCACAGCAGTTCTGGTACAGGTGGTCACAATCTTACTTACAAAAATTACAAGCTATTTCTAAGTGGTTTTTCAGGAACAGAACAATTCAAGTTGGTGCATTAGCCTTGCTAACTGATGAAAGATTTCCCCCCACGAAATGGCCACTCGTGAGGATAATTCAACTACACTCAGGGCAAGATGGGCTTTCACGAGTAGCAACGGTGAAGATACCAACAACGACGTTGGTCAGACCAATCGTCAAGCTAGCCATTCTATCAATCAACCCAACTCCTGAAGCCCAGCAGCAGAATCAACCAGAAGACAATCATCAACCAGTTGCAGATGGCGGGCGGCATGTTGAGAATTAATTAATTCTCAATTTGAATTTGCCAGCTGACAGGAACTTCGGCGGCCATCTTGGGACTGGGTCGATAACCAATCGACCTAATAATCAATAATTCTTTATCTAGTCACTCATTTGACTACTTTTGAGTGTCCCTTTTGACTAATGAAGTTCTTGTCGCCATTCTTTCACTGTTCTCGTTCACGTGTACACGCCATTCTTATTCATTCTTAACAAATCTTACAAGTTTGAGTCAATCATCAGTACTAGTGCGATTATACATCATCAGAAAAATTCAGGCTTCATTCTGAAACGAAATTCAAGAGCTATTTCAAGACAGTTCAGTGTAAATTCAAGACAATTCACTATATTCTTTTGCATTGCATCGCTAGGCTAACGCCACGTGCACAATCACATTCTTGCTCAACTTGAGAAGCGTGTTAAGCTCGTGTGGGAGGTCAATAATACCGAACACACCAAGTTGAGTAGTTTTTTGGACATTCAATTCAGATTCGAGAATTAAAATTAGACATTCAGTGATTTTGAGCGACATTCAGTCTTCCTAGTTAACAACTCAAGTTTGTCAGTATACTTAGTGTACCTGTTAGTGCTTAAAATAAAGATACTTTATTTTTTATAAAACCTGACTTCCGTTTGCTCTGTTCCGGCACAATCATCCCTATCCTTAAACGGTTAGGTTAATTCACAAGTTGAGACTTTCTCAACAGTGTTCATAACAATTGAACATTGTTACTGACAATTGATTATTGATCATGGTAATTTTAAAATAAAAAGTTTCAAATTGTTTTAAACACTAAAAATAGGGATCCATGCTATATATATGATATGCTTTTAACGCATAATTTTTTCTTTTACTGAAAAAATGTTACCAAACGTATGACATAAATGAAAAAATACTTTTTTCGTTTATAACAATTCCATTTGTTATAAAGAATAGGAAAAAATGATCTATGCAACATATTTGTGTTCTATTAGCGTGTAATTTTTATTTTACTGAAAAAAAGTTACCAACTGTATGCCATAAACGAAAACATGCTCCTTTGTTCATAGCAATTAAATTTGTTATAAATTATGAAAAAAGAGATCCATTCGATATATTTGAATTCTTTTGACGCTTGATTTTTTCTTTTACTAAAAAAAAGCTACTAACGGTATAACATAAAGAGAAACTTACTTTTTTTGTTTATAACAATTAAATCATGATTATATAGGAACAGAAATTCGATCTCACGATGAATTCTAATTTTTTTTTTTCTTGTTCTCATAATTATAAACGTTACTTATTGAAGCAATATTGATTCAATTTTTGTTATCCCGCACAGAAAAAAATATATGTGTAAATATAAAAAAAAATATATTTATATTTATTCATATATATTTAAATAATAAAGAATTTGCCGCATTTCATATATGATTTATATATATAAAATGTATTATTGATATACGTAAGATATATCATAATATGTAATTGAAGTATATTCTATTTATAATTTTTATATTCTTTAAATATTTTTCATATGCATATTATTTATAATCTTCATATACTGTGTGAATGAGTATGATATATATATATATATATAAATACACATATATTTAAAAAAATATTGTTTTAATAAAATAAAGAAAGGAAAAAGTCAAACATAATAGTACCACGTATATACCATTTATATTTTATTGTAATAAAATGTAAGATAAATTTCGTATACTAATCTTTAATACAAAAAAAACGTTTTATATTTATATAATAAATTTACATTTTATTCAATGTCAGTTGAGTTCTTCGTGGAGTCGTCTTCTGGTGACAATGGTTTCTATAATTTGAAAAAATTAAGAATCAGTTAATTATATGTAACATTTACATAAAAAATATATTATTTCCAGCTCTTAATTTTAGAAAATATAAACAACCTGAATGAAATATTTTTGAAAGTATTTGATTTGTACTGTTCTATAAAATCAATTTTATGATTCAGTGTAGTAGCAATCAGTAACTATTACTATTGAGTGTATTAAATTTTATATTTACAATCATGAGATACATCAAATGCAGTATATTTTTAATATATTTTTTCAAATAGTTGTTCAAAACTCCATTCACGAAAAATCGAAATATATAGCTAGTTAAATCTCACATATATATACATGTATCTCATGTACATATATCTTATGTATACTGTCTCGTAAGACTCATTTTATTGATTAAGCCGGTCAGTTTACTCCTATTTTGTTTGTACGTGAAGTAAAAAAGAAAGTGTGATGAATTACTCAAAAGAAGAGAAAATTTTTAGACATTAAAAATGTATAGTCTGCAGAAATCAAGAGCCCACACATTTATGTTCTCAGTAGAATTTAATTTTTTATCTTAGACTCATGATTTCTTAGTTTATTCGATATGTATGCGATAAATCGTAAGTAGCCACTTTTATTGACACAGTAAAATTCGTATCTCTGAACATTATATTTCATATCAATGAAGTATATATAATATAAGAAATAAACGTTAAGAAAATGTAAATAAATGCATATTATTTTTTGAATACCTGTTTTTTACATTTTTGAACTTTATTTGCTCTCAAGCTCGCCATTTTAGCATTAAGAGCGATACGTAGAACTTTGTCGTTATATGTAGAAGGAAATTTCTCTTCAACAGCATCTACATTTGAAAAAGATGGTAAATTACTTGAAATTTCAAAATTATTGTTAAGTACATCACTATCATTAACATTTACCCATGATCGCTTGCAGTTTAACAGCATCGAGCGCTTTATGAGTAATTGTTTTTCCATCAGATCGCTTTATTTTACTGGCTCCTCCCTTCAAGTTGCTCTCTAATAAGACATCGATCGGAAATACAGATGTTAGCAATGACAATCCCATATGTGTGAAAGTTCCTGCACGATTAGCTGCAGTCCACTGGGATTCGGTAATTTCTGTTCCATTTCCTGGTTTACCAATCTCCTTCTAAATAAACAATAAGTTTAAGATGATGCTTTTTAATTATCAAATTATAAAATTATTTTGTACAATTAATTTTTTTTCAAAAACATTCATAAACATAAATGTAAACAAATGAAATTCAATTTATGTAATGATTATATCTCAGGAAAATAATTTTTTATCAAAGGAGTAATAACCTTCTTTCTACCGAACAAAAATGATAGTTCATTAAATTATTGAATTTAAAATTAATTTTAATGAGAAAAAAATACCATTTTTTGGCTTTTTCGATTGTTGCGATTGTTTAGTAGCAGTTAATTCTTTGCTTGTACTTGGCTCATGATCTGCTGATGTTGATGGTCTACAGTTTTCCATTCTATTGACGGTTTGTTGAATATTCAAAAGAATTTGTCGATTTTTCATTATCGCTGCGATACAATACTATTTATTAATAACCAAAAAAAAATATGACTTTGACATTATATACATTTTGACAAAGATAAATGTTTATACCGTCAATAATTCTGTTGTCATTTATAGAGCTTTCAGTCAAAACACCAATTCCTGACATATTTATTCCAGAATGGCTATGACTCCCACTTCTTTTTGTTAGCTTTTCATCATCATCTTCTAGGAGCCGTTTTCTTTTTCTCTGTGGGGGGATCTATATACAAACAGAAAGTTATTTAATCATTTTGAAATCATTGAAATAGTATATTGATTCCATAAAAATTTGACACATAATCAAACCAAAAAATTACGTACCAGATTATCACTGTCGTAATCAGAAGGCTGCGTGTT